ATAATATCAACCATGAAGCAAATCTGCATGTTAAAGAAGAGATGTCAATCATCCATCGCAAATACATCAAGTGGTTGATAAGAGCCAATCATGATAACATAAATCAAAGAGACAATTAGATGAATAATAAAAAGGGCCCCAAGCATTGTTTCTCCTGGTTGAACAAATTGCACAAACATTGGAACTCAAATGGCGTGTTTCTACTCCAATTGCTATCAAAAAGTAAACAAGAAGACATGTATTGCAATGTGCAACTTACAGGCTATCCAGGAACCTGCTGTTCTTCCAGACAACCATGTAAAGATTCCTCTCATCTCAGCACAGCACAAAGTTCATCATCTACTGATATTTGGAGCTGATTAGATAGCATCATCTGCAATTTCAGATTATTTGGCATAGAATAATACCATTCTTTTCTCCTCCAACTAAATTCAATGGAGTCAGACCAAACAAATAATCATTTAAGTTGCAACATAAAAGACTCATAAGGGCATCAGACCTGTCTTCCTCCCACGCAAAAGTACTTGAGTACATTTTTAAATAGATTAGAAACTAAACCTCATCATCAGTAAGTAATCTGACCTTCAGCTTCGTATCTTCCTTGTTAAAATAAAAAATTTACATGGGCAATCTGTGTCTCACTAACAGTTCGCGATACACCCATCTCTCTCTGCTCACAACTTCAAGGCAACAAAAGATCGGACTAGAATAATGATAGGCCTACCATGTTCAGAAAGTACTCACATTACTAGAACCATTTTGCACATGTGCCATGAAAAGACTGAGTTGATCAAAAGAAATAATTCATAACACAATCTCATTTGATATTTTGACGGAACATGCTGAAACATATATATGATCCCATTTTCAAAAATTATGACAACATGCCTACTCATCGATTATATTAGCTAGCCCTAACCACGGTTCAGTTCAAATTGGAACCGAACCCGAACTGGCAAGGGGCAGTTCAGTTCCAGTTCCTAGGTTTGGGAAACTGGAACCGCCGATTCAGTTTTATTAAAAAAAGGCCTGGTAAAATAGGTTGTTAATCGACCGTTCGGCTCAAACGACTAGGCCCAACGGTCCATGCCTGGCCCAATGATTGATGGAGGGGCAAATGACCAGTTTGCCCCTCCCAACAACCATATAAACGAATATATTCATAGGTATTTTGGTTATTTTATAATTTAAAAATATAAAAAATATTGAAACAAGATAGATTATAATTTTTTTTTTCATATTATGAATTTTCATATTAAAAATAAAATGATGAATTTTTTATATTATAAATTATTTTATTTAATATTAAAAAATTATCTGAAATCAACAGAACCGGACCCAAAATCGATGATACCAGTTTCGATACCAAAACCAGCCCTTACCGGTTCAGTTCTGATTCCAAGTTTTGTCAAACCGAAACCGACGGTTCTGAAACCGTGGTTAGGGCTAATATTAGCAAACAGAACAAAACATTTTACACATGGTGTCTTTCAATTGCAACCTATATCTGAGCAGGCCAATACCACAAAGTACATATGTTATTCTAGCTTGCAAATTCTGAAGAAAAATCCTCTTAATAATCAACACAAGAAAGAAAAAAACATGATTCCTATATATGTTTCTCATTGTTAATTATGACCTACCAATAAGTTTGATGGTCTGTGATGTTCAATAAAGTTTCCATGCATTGCTAACTTAAGCATCTGCATTTGGCATCTCAAGATACTTAGGAACCTTAATTTATATTCCCAGGCTAGTACATGCATTGTTTAGCTATAAAACAAGCATCAACTAATCTGGCTTGATGAGCACCAGACAGTTTCCTTTCTCTATAATTTTTATCATCAGAAAGTTCAAATGTGAGATTTGCAAGCAAGCCAAACATAACCTGAAAACATAGAAAATACCAAAGTGACATAAATTATTAAATGACATGGTAAACAAGAAACAAGCTGTTGAAAGCATAGTCCTTGAATAAGATGGCATCTCAGACAGTCAAAAATGTGAAAAAAATTATTATTGATGATCCCACAGGACTAGAAAAGTTAAGAACTGATTCGGTTATGAAAATGATAATCTAAATTCACAGGCTGCCCAATGCCCATAAGTGAGGTAACTTCTCTAAAGAACCACAATACCCTGCAGACTAAAAGCAGAATTAGTTGTCAAATGATAAATTTTCTGCATGTTAACAATTGTACTGTAAAGCAAACTTACTTACCTAGTCCATCTTTAGGACAATCTATATAATGGGTAAAGAATGCAGAACAAGGATATATATAATCAGTATGCAAATCTGCTCGAAAAATTGTAATCCCTTGTAGACGGAATGGTCAAACCGAGACACTTGACTCATGTTACAAAGTGAAAAAAAAAAAAATACAGCTCCCAGTTCTGTATGACTCTCAAAAGGCTACCAACTGATGATTTTCTAAAAAGTGCCAAGTTGCATCCCTATCAATCGATGCTAAATACTATAATTTGAGTTGTTATTCTAGTAGAAACTAATACAATGGTCAAGTAACTCTGTTTAGCTCAGAAATCATGGCAATCCATTCTACCCAATAAATAAAAAGCAGCACATTCTTTTATTGGCTTGATTAGCCATAGAAAAAATAAAAGCAGAAGTAATCAAAGGGAAGATAAAAGAGAAAATTCTAGTTTCCTTAGAGATCTATTCAAGGTTATACTAAAAAATAAATGCACTTACAACACACATTTCATGCCAATTCTAATAGCTTCCGGAAGGATAGTAAAGATGAAATGTCCTTCAGAAGTATGCGGTGCATGTGCCATGATTATCATCTAGACCAGTATAGATGAAAGACAGTTCCAAACTATAAGGTGGGATTCAAACAACCTAGCTCGATGGTTGGCACAAAAGGTCGTTGGGCTGGATCCTTACATTGGAGAATCATCAATTATTAAAAAACTATTAGATTCCTTATTTTAACTAGAAGCTTCATTAGAAAAGCATTGAAATGATGAAAGTTAACTGAGAAATGTAGAAGTAAAAGAAGGCTACTTCTGGATAGCAGCTAAAGTTAAGAAGAACATCTTGAAGAGTAATGTCATAGCAAGAGATCTATAGCAAGTTTTATCAAAACAATAAGCAAGATGTTAGATCCAAAATGAAAGGCAGATTTAATTGTTGAACAACAAGAAAGTAAGCAGTATGTGAGGCTCATTTGCACTTTACATAAAGAAAAGGATGGTCAGTATTTCCTATTCTGACCATTCAACGAGCACCTTAAAGGCTTGAACCAATTATTAACAATCCAGCTATGCATTGGCGAACATAAATATTTAACGTGACAATCTGAATCTTGATTACACTGGCACAGCCATGATATCCCATCGTCACACCTCAACAGCATCTACATAGAAAGTTGTTCAAGAAGAACAAAGGACCGGCATATAAAGAGCCCGGGTAGAGCTTCATCGAAAGTAATCTATACAGGAGAGAAGCCATACAGAGCCGAACAACGCATCACCGAGAGTTTGGAACCACCGTCAGACCGCAGGAATATTGTCAAAGGAGAAGCCTTTATAACCCTTGTACGCATAATAAGCTATCCTCGTGTAGTAGAACCCCGGCAGAAACAGCACCGACCCCAATATCGCGAAGAAAACACCTAATCCATCCATACAAATCCAACCCAGAAAAGGAGTGACCGGAGGGTCAGGCAGAAATTCCACAAGAAAAAAAGATGAAAATCCGAAGGGAAAGAAGGTAGTCACCGTGCGCGCGATCACCGCCGATGCGGTTCGCGGCCATGATGGAGCCGACGACGATGGCAAGAGAGCCGAAGACGAGGAGGGACACGGCGAAGGCGATCTCCTTGATAGGGGGCCGGTTCTCGATGGTGCGGCTGGAGTCGCCCATCATGATGTCCTCGTCGGAGATGGAGAAGGCGTGATCGACGTATGCCATGGCAAAACCCGAGAAACAGAGCTCTTCCTCCTATTGGTTACGGTTTCGGAAAAAGGGATCAGAGGAGAAGGAGAGAGGAAACCCTAATCGAAGGAGCAAAAGTATGGGCGAACAGAGGAAACGAAGACGGGAGACGGCCGTGGTGGTCACGGCGAACGGGGGCGGGTAACGTGTCCGAATAACGTTGGACTGCACCCACATTTACACCCGGGGATCGGCCTTCACGTCGGGCCCACCCTTCATCCGTCGACCCGTTCCGGGGATCAGGTGTTCGGTCTGTGCTAGGGTTCGCAGGAGCGCGCGAGTCAGAGTCGCGACAACTGGCCTTCGGCCCAGTCATGTTTTCCGCACTCGCAGGTCACTTTGACCATGTTTTGCTGGTTGCTGATTGGAACCAGCGAGCAATACACGGTGCTCGTATCAATGGACACGTGGCTAAGATATCGATTGAAGAACCCAGTCAAAATTGCAATTCTAACTTTAAAAAATCTTAAGTCTTGATTAATTTCTAATGTTATAAAAACAATTTCTAAAAATAAAAAAAATCCATATCATTATTGAGCCTGATTTTAAAACCATGATCAATTTTCAATGTAATTATGTTTTGCTATAAAATTTCAATATGCTTATAGAGAGGACAATAAAATTATAAATATATGATAAGGAATAATACATAGTCAAATTGTCCATCACAAAGTCAAACAGTGCGACACTACTAATTCAAACCAGGTTTCTTTTTAGCCGCTGCAGCCACGCAGGTCAAACTTTTGTTGGCATCTTCTCATTTGGCTTCATTTGCCCGAGTCAATGAGACATGGGAATCCTGATTAATTATGTAAGCATTTTCTTATGTTTTTCTATTTAAATATGTAAAGCATTACTTTTAACAATGCACAAAAGTAATTTGTAGAGAATTGCATATTAAGTGGTTCTCAAATCTAAGGAAAAAGGTTAAATAAAAGAGAAATCCATGTGGTCATGCCTTCGTCAGATGAGTAATCTAAGTTTGACTCGAGAACCTTGAAACAGCAAGTACGACTTCAAGGAGGTCAACGGCTCGGTGGCGGGAGTCAACCAAGAGATCATTAGCACACGAACACAACAGATAGTTTCGATTACAAGAGAAGTAAGGTCACTTCCAAGTTAAAAGGAAAAGAGGAAAAGTTTTGATTCTACAGATGCGAGGAAATAAGGGTACAAACATACATGAGATACGACAGAGTAAAAGTGATGAGATTTTGGGATGATGGAGATTAACCATTGTTATGGAAACCTGGAATAAGAGAAGTCACAAAACCGATGATGAACACCTGGATCTCTTTCACAATGAGCCACCAATTGATCCCCCGTCCTCCCTCAGGTTCTGGTTGATTCTCATTTGCAGCCGGTCGTTCTTGGCCTTCTGTTGGTTGATGATGCTGGTTCTGCCTCTCAACTCCAACATTTTGGTCTGCAAGTAATTCAAACCCATTTCAGCATCAATTTCACTACTAATGTCCTATAAACTTGTTGTTCATTGCTCATCAGATATCATGATAAGAGACCGTGTTCCATTAGAATAACGTGCACATGAAAATGTTTAAGCTTTACAGGTTTACGTAATACCAGGTTGAGGATTATTTGCATCACCATGACCAACAGGATGGTCATTCTGTGGCTGCACAAGTTGTCGAGGTTGAGGGGGCGCTCCTGCTTGTTGAAGCCATCTTATGAAGGGGGCAAGAACTCCAGTTCTGTATCTACAATTTGCGGAATGGATTAAAAGGGTGAGTGATGGGGCAAGCCATTGTAGGTAAACCGGAGTAGAGCCCTTCTAAAACTCCTAAATGTACTTGGATAAGAGAAAATTTTCCCTGATCATAGGCAATTAGCAAGGACTATGATTCCCACTTTGTGCAAATCAGGGATCAAATATATCTTGCGCTTTTTAAGTAAAATCTCATCTTACAGGTACACAAGTGAGGCACAGAGCATCATAAGAATGAGCCTGTGTTTTGATCCATCCTGGCTGAGAAGAAAGACCACCGCTGCCAACTTGAGGATGAGACCCAAATCAATTTGAATTGCAAACTGAAATCTCCTCACGACAGGTTGCCTTTGAGGACCTTGTTGCTGTCTCACTTCTTGCCCATGCTGCTCATTAGCCCCACCTGTAGATTCTTGCCTCCTGAAAGGTGCACATCAGAGAGGTGAAAGAATGAAATTCATAGTTCATATTCTATCGCGGAGGGGAAAACGCTCAACATGCTACAGACAAATTCCCAAAAAGTATGTGCATGCACAACTGTAAACGGAAACAGACATGTTAAACAAACAATCAATAATGACAACTTTATTTACACCATATCTGTTAAAGTTGTTAACAGAAGCAAACTTTCAAGATAAATAAAATAAAAAAATGCGTACAATCACTTTTGTCTTGCAACATACTGTTAATAAGCTAAACTGCACTTGGTGTTTGTGTTGAAATATACATAACCTGACAGAGAATGGAATTCTTTCTAAATTTATATTAGCTTCCAGTGAGCACTAGACACCTTTAAAAGTTCAAGCAGAAAAACAGCAAGATGGCCCTCTGTTAACCAGTCTCCTCAGATTGAAGTACAAGAATCAACAGGTGGGGCTAATGTCCAAATACAAAGATCTCTAAGTTCCTTGATACATCAAGAGAACCGTTCCAGACAACATCCTCATACAATACACCAAAACTTTCCCAAGAAAAATGAAAGTATTCTCAAAAACAAAACTATGTTAAAGACTATCATAAACTACTTTCAGAATCAAATGTACAACAACAATAAGAACAACAACAAAACCGTAAATCAACAAAATACCATATGTTTAGTTAGATTTAAAATATTTAAATTCTTATTTATAGTTTCTATTAAGATCCTTTTGGGTCTTCCTTTGTCTGTCATCTTATTACTAACATTAATTATTTCGTTTCTTCTAACTAATGCATCCGTAGATCTTCTAAGCACATGTTCATATCATCTTAAACAATTCTCTCTCATCTCATCCTCTATCGAAGCGATACCTAATCGTTTATAAATAAAAATATTATTTTCCTATCTTTCCTGGTAACTTCACATGTCCATCTCAGCATTCTTATCTCAACAACACAAACTTTTTATATATTATTTTTTAATTATCCAACACTCATAGCCATAAAGAATTACTGATTCACAACTGTCTTATAAAATTTTTCTTTTAATCACAAATGTATCCGGTGATCATACAAGACTCCTAACGCCCCTTGTCATTTTAACAATCCTGTTTTTTGCTTTATGAATAATATTTTCATCAATCTCTCCATCTTACTAAATAATTAACCCAAGATACCTAAGGCTTTTATTTAAAGGAACATCTTGCATATCCAATTTAACTATATTCTCCTGTCTATTCCTAGTAATACTAAAACTGTATCTCATATATTCAATTTTAGTCCTCGCTAATCTAAAACCTTTAGCTTCTAAGGATTGCCTCCAAAACTCAAACTTATAATTAATTCCACTTAGGCTCTCATCAACTAAGATAATATCATCAGCAAATAATATACACCAAGGCTTGTAAATATCTAGTAAGTTTATCCATTATTAATGTGAAAGGGTAGCGATTTAAAACGGATCCTTAATGTAATCTTATACTAATAGGGAACTCACTAGACACACTCTCTATAGTTCTAACACGAAAAACTACATTATCGTACATATCCTTAATAACATCAATATGACTAGTGGATACAACTTTTTTTTCTAAAACCCACCATAATAGATATTTAGGAACTTTATCATAAGCTTTCTCTAAATCGATAAAAACTATATGCAAATATTTTTTTTCTCTCTATACTTTTTCATTAGTTATCTTAATAAATAAATAGCTTCTATGATTGATCTTCTAAGCATAAAACTAAGTTGATTTTCAGATATAGTTGTTTCAAGCCTTATCCTACTTTTAGAAGAAAATGTCTATTAGTGCAAGAAAGATACTTTTCTACATGACTTGCCAATAGTCTTTTATGTATCTACTTAGCTTTTGTTTTTTTATAAGCATATTAAGAAAAAGAATGAACAAATGCATGAGGCTCATATGCCAGTGAGGAGTTTGGGGAAGTTGGATATGCAACCTTAACCCTACAAATAGAGAACCTACTTTCAAAGACATCAATTTTTTATTATTTCTTATTGGAAGACCAGACACATATCCAAACTTTAAGGCACCAACTACAAAATTATGCAGATTGTCATAATGGATCACTACTTTTCCTACTTCTCATTAAATTATTTGAACCTCTAAAATTTCCTCAGTGAAAATCTGAAAATAAAATTTTCATAAGAATATCTAGAATTTTAGAACCTTTGAGTTCTTAATTACTCATACTGAATACTGCACGAGTTCAATGATGATAGTAGGGGCAGAAGACCAATTTATAAGTAAGCAAGTATAAGCACCTCATGATAACTGTTGGAGCAAGATGGCATCCTTATAAGCTTTTGTAGTTTGTATGGTATGGCAGGTTACAAAAATTCACCTTTCCTGCTTTCCTCACACCTATAGATAGTATTCTGATTACTCTGTTTTCATGTTTATCATGAAATAATACATCAATTATGCAACATAAAATGGTCTTTCAAAAATTAACAAAAAAGCAAAAGCATAAAAAGGTATATCACCAGAATCAAGTGAACAAGGGGCTATCAAATTATAATCAACAAAATAATAGTTCTTACCACAAAAATGCCAACAAATTACCAAAATCTAAAAGGAAGAACACAAGACATAAAACATAAAGGTGTCTAAGAAAGGGTCCAGACGAAGATTAGTATGGCAATTTGCGAACATCCTTGAACAACAAAACTAGACAGTTCATTCATAGTAATTATAACAGCAATTGATTACTCAAACTCTTTCAAAACAAAGCAAAAGGGAAAGCTCGCTCAATCTTATCTTCAGCAAGTTTGACTGATCATATCTGACTGATTACAGCAGAACAAAATTTATCTTCAGCAAGTTGCAAAGAGATGCTTACGTTGGTATCTTATAGCGAAGCGGAATGAGAGTGTTTGGAGAAAACCCAGCCATAGGGCTCATGTACGGGAGACAGGGGATGGCATAAATTCCTGGACCGCTGTCATCTTCTTCTAGGTTTTGTGAAGGAAATGGTCTAGTGTACATGAACGGATACATCTGGAAATCAGAAATATATGGTACCTGAATCACCACAGCAGCAACAGTAAGAGGCGGGCAAATAAGAATCAGGAAAACATAAGAGCCCAAAAACCAATCTTTACATGAGAGGAAGGGGGAAAAAAGTCATTTTTGACACAATTTTGCAGATTCAAGTAGTCATACAGAAACCCTAACAACATGAGAATGGGAATTGGGATCATCCTCAATTAAGACTATATATATTCCAAGTCCAAAGAAAATAGAAGAATCCAAGAAAATGATTTCCCCAAAACAACGCAAAACTAAATCAAGAACGTGATACCCGAACCAGCGTGACCTTGAGAACCGGTCGAGATCTCCAAAGAAATCAAAGGGAAACAGCGTGGAAACAGGGACAGAAATGAGGAGGATCGAAGTACCTGAGGTTTCCCAAGCCCCTCATCGGACGACGGAGGGGGCGGCTGGGGATTGGAGGGACCGGCGTTGGGTTCTTCCGCCATGAGAGGAGAGTCGAGTTCGAGAAGCGTCAGGCGGTCCGTTGCTCCTCCGGGACTAAATAAGGAGTTCTAGCGACCGGTGCAGAAGAATGTGGCCGCCATGTGGCATGGCTCGTCAAACCATGTTGTTGCCGCGGGTGAATGCGGCACGTCATAAGGACAAGGCGTGACCTTGATTTAGCCAGGTTGGTCCGTGGAGGTGCACGAACAAAACATCTAATTGAAGTGGTTATCTTAAGAGAATAAGAAAGAAAAATATCATGAAAATTAAATATAAATAATAATAGGAATCTAAATTTAAGCTAATAATTTATCAAAAAATATTATTGGAGATAGTAGGAAAATAATAATGTGATCGATATCTCATTGGGAGTCACACAATTAAACACCTCGTTATGAATTATGTAATTGACTCCTTAATACTATGTGATTAATATCTCGACGCTATGTATTGTTACCTCGATATTTCGTAACCAATACGTTGGTACTTGTGGTTGACACTTTTGACGATGGATCCTCGATATTTCAATCATGAATGTTATTATCTCATATCTTAGACTTTATTACCATATCATATTTGCATATAATTATCTTCAACATCAAACTATAAAAATGATTTAAAAATTAAACCATAAAAGGTATATTCCATCACATAATATTTATCTCTCTATACATTCTTAACATTTTATTAATACTTTATTTCTTTAACGGACTTAAGTATCAATTAGGTTTGTTTCTTGAAGTAATTTAAGACGATTTCAATTAACTTCAAATCAACTTATCAAATAACAACAAGAGGATTTAACGTTTCCTAACACTGTTTAAAGGTAAAATAAGATCTCGATTGACTTCAACATCTCAAACCGGCAACGAGATTTAACGTAACATGTATATAAACAAATCATCACTAATCGATTTATAAAAGCTCAAATAATAAACAAATAAGAGTACTTTATTTTGTATATTCTTCCTTAATGAGTGGATAATGTGACTTGGAGGGCAATAATCGAGGCTACACGTGTCATAAATTAAACTCGCCCGGCACGCAGAGTTTGCTACATGCAGTTCGTGCTGCCATGGAAGAACATACTGGTCGTCGGATCTAACATAGGTAATGGTACAATAAAGATAGGGCTTGTATACAGAATCATATAACATGAGTTGGTGTCCTGAATCACCAACACATATGCCTTGATGGAAGATATACGGTTCAAGAAGAGCGAGGAAATGGCCTTCTCAGAGAAGATTTTGATTGCCCTGTGGGGTTGAACCCTGTGGGAAGCCAGCAAATGGGTCACCGAAGGGATTGGCAGAGCTTATCTGCTGCTGAGGATATGGAGGCTGGTAAGGCACCATCATCATCATCATCTGCTGCTGCTGCTGTTGCTGCTGCTGCGGGGAGTAGTACTGTTGCTGTAGCTGCTGCTGATAATACAGCTGCTGTTGCTGCTGTGCCATCAGGGCCATCTGCACGCTTGGTGGAGGCGCGATGCTGTTCGACATGGCGAAGGGATCTCCGAAGTCGAAAGGATTAGCGTCCATGCCGCCGCCGGAGTAAGCCGCAGCAATTTGTTGCCTCCTTGATGAATCTTCGTAGAGGCTTTCGAGCAAAAGCCTGTCGAACCCACCAGCCTGCGCAGCAGAAATGTAACGGAGGTGAATTAGAATGTGCCATATCTACCTTCACTGTTCTTTTAAATGCTTAGGAGCAGGAAATTGGCTAAAATCTTGAAGCCACAATCAACCTGGAAACGTAGAACAACAAAGAACATGATTCCCCTACAGATACAGAATTCTTAATCGCTGTAGACTCTACGAGTAGATGATCAATGAAAACTCAAAGTGTGACTGCAACTAGATAAGGAATATACCAGTTGGCTCTCAACCAAGTGGCTGGTGTTGCTGCTTGGAGTAGTGACCAACGCTAACTCCCATCCAGATGAATCAGTTCCAAACAAGTCATGAGCTGTTGAGGCCTTTGTATCATTCCCTGCAACTTAAATAAATTATTATGGTTGCTTGCAATGGTTTAACAATGAAAGCACAGAGAAGCATGTGACTTTTCTCAGATATAGTATAGAATTTCAATGATCTCGAAAAGTATTCTTGTTCTAGACACAGAAATATAATAACATCATATTCTTCTGTGCTTATGACATGAAAAATGAACACTAGGCTACCTGGTGAAATGATGGCTAGAGCCAATGCGTTACTTTCCTCAAGTTCAGCAGCAGCAGGATTTATTTCATCTAAGCCCTGCATGACGACATAAGAGATGCATATCATTTTCCTAATGCATTCACATCATGGAATAACTATACAAAAGGATACACATAACATACCAACAGGTCCCCCATAGTAGCTGGCTGGGGTTCAGCCTCCATTATAGGTTCAGGCTCTGGTGGCTGTTCCTCTTCAGGTGGCTGCTTCTCATCTTCCTCTGGTTTCTCAGTCTCTGGAGGAGGGGCTTCTTCTTGATCTTCTGTTGGTTCGTTCTTCTCTTCATATTCCTGGTTTAAACATATAAGCAATAAGTACACTTATACAAGAGTTCCCAAACAACACAATTAGAAAGCTAATATATGGGAGACTGCCATTCTCAGGTGCATATAGTTTATACTTTACACAAGCCTTTACAGCATTTTGAGCTCATATTTTGGCAGGATATTGGAAATTCTTGTGTTCTTGGGTAGTTTTTCTTGTTTTTGTTTCCTACTTTTTTTATTTGGCTTTTCACTGTTTCTTTTTACTGGATTACTTCTTTCTTCTTTTTTTTCTTTTTACATCTAGTAGATGGAATTAGGGCGGTGCCATTTCAACATCTTTTCTGAAAAAAGAATCATAAAAGACATCAACAACCAATCATTTTTGTCCAACCATTTAAAATTATAGAAGAATTTTTGCTACAAAATAACTAAAAGTCTGATCATTTAAGAAAGAAAAACCTATGCAGATACATAAAATAATAGTTGAAAATTCAACTGCCATGCAGGAAATCTCAAGCAATTTTTAAGTGTCATAGTCAATACATGTTTTTCACCATAAAAATGGAGGAGGAGAAGAGAGCTAAGATAGAGTCCTCATTTAATATTCAGATGGTAATTAGCCTCATCATATCCAATTTACCATATGATGTTCATAAAGCTATGACATTGCATCACAACCATTGATCATATAGTCCTTCTTTTTGTTTCACATATATGCCTGACAATCAAGCTTCTTTTTCCACAGGTTATAAAATGCAAGGAAAATTCTTAAGCAATTACTTGTACAGGACTACTTTATTAGCAACATAGAGAACCAATGCAAGCATATCCTGCAAACTTAATTGCACTCACCAGCTTCTTACTTGAAATAGAACCAATCCCAGGTGCTTCTCTGATGTATTCTTCCATTGTTGCAAGAAATGAAGTAGGTGGCTAAGAAAATATAGATAAAAAACGCATCATTAGTAGGAAAATTTGTGTAGCTAGGAGTATCCAGTTGGCTAAGTCAACGTTGAGATGCCTAACAGGAATATGAGCACAAGTTTATAATTCGATGTCAGTTAGTGGTTAGTGTTAATATTCAAAAAGTTTAAGCTAATAGATGAAGCAAGATTTAGTAATATATATTCTAATGCTCCCTCTTGCCTGTGTGTCCAACTCGTCGAACTCAAATTAAATAGGAAAGAATTCATGAAGCATAGCGACTTAAACTTGGGACCTCCAGCTATAATATCATGTTAAATCTTATCCATTATTGATTCGTCAGACAGCTTAATCTGGTAGGTGAAAGGCTTCAACAATTTATATTCTGATAACCAGTAGTTTTGACAAATTGTTGATGAACCGTATTAGATGTTTAAAACTGTCTAGTTCAGTTGGTAAAATGGTAAGTTATTCATAAAGTGGGATATAATGAGAGAACCTGTCTCAGAGTTGGGAACTGAAAGTTCCTGGCAAGTTCCAAATGTTTGCAGATTTCATAAAATTCCGAGAGAGCTTCTGCCTGCAGGAAAATGAAGAGACATACATTAAGAATCACTGCCAGTCAAAATTAATTTTCGGCAATTCGTCTTTTTAGAATTAGTTTTTGTTATTTTTCATAAAATAATTCTTTTTATAATTAGTTGTCTATGACAAGAAGTATGAGACCTTGCAAAGAACAATGTATACCTGCTGCCCAGCTCTTTTGTATATTTCAAGGGCCTTGATGGCATCATATTTTGACATCTCAAAGAACTGCATAAGATGGAATTGGATAAACCAAGGTAGAGTGGCTGGATTATCTGTTGATCGAGAGGTGTAAAATGTAACAATATAAAGTCAATGTACCATATCCACCAGATTGATGATCCCATCATTGATTGCACAATATATTTTGAAGCTCTCTTTCAAAACCTAAGTGACAAAACAGGAAATATCTATCAGCTTAATGTTTATATTCGGGAAACTATTTGTTTGTTCTATAATACATTAAGAATGTTTATGATAGTGTTCAGACACCAATGAGGATGTCAAATAGTTCAAAGAAATTCAAGTCCTTCATGTCTACTTCATACTTCATATACATAGTTACCATTAATGAATAAAAAGAAAATTTGTAATTATAAAGAAATTAATAACATACTTCAAAATGTGAAAGGTATGATAAGAAATAATAAGAGAAACAACAACTAGAATGAATCATTATGAATCCTATACAAGCCAAGGTCAAAGAAGTTGCTGCTTCAGAATTTATCATTATCAGAAAAATTAGAAGAGAGATTTTACAAGAAATATGGCATCTAAACTCTGTCTGAAGACCAATTACTACCCACATGAACTATATAAATTTTACATTCCTAGGTTATTTCGACTTAGTTATTTTAACATCATGTTCAAATAATTAAAAATAATGCTCGTACAAACTTAAGCAGATATATGGCAACACAGTCATGTTAACTCTTGAAATCAGATAACCACAGACCGGCATAAAATAGATTGCCAAAAATACACTAAAACTGTAATCAAAGAAAATCTCAAGAAAAATAAAAGCAAAGGAAAAAAAAAGACCACACCAGAGCAAG